CTAATAGTCAACCATCTTTCGTTGCTTTGTGTCGAATTTAATTAAATGCCGTTGTTTATCGGCAACTTTACACATGAACCTGAAAATAAAAATAAAAAAGAAATAAAAATGAAACTGGTGAATCTAAGAAGATAATTATTAATTGATGATAGGTAGGAAGATAAATAGATTTGAAAATGAATATGAACAATCTGAGATGAATAGATAGATGAAAAGACTGAGCTTGAGATGAATATATATGCATATAAATGAACATACTTTGATAGATAGATAGATAGATAGATAGATAGATAGATAGATAGATAGATAAGAATAAACTGAAATATACATGAATGTTTATATGAACAGAACTAGGTAGATAGATGGATAGATAGATATGAATAGACTGAAAACGATACAGATAGATAGAAACATATAGATTGATGGATAGGTAGATAACCAGATATCAGTAGAGTGAAATATATATGCCTGTGTGTGTATGTATGTGTGTGAACAGTCTTAAATAGATACGAGAGAAATTGATAGACTGATAGATGTATATACTGAAATAGACTAAAATAGATATTAATATATATATATATATATATATATATATATATATATATATATATATATATATATATATATATGAACAGACTTAGATAGATATGAACATACGGAGATAGATAGATAGATAGATAGATAGATAGATAGATAGATAGATATGAATAAACTGAAATAGATATGAATATATATACATATATGTATGAAAAGACAAATGAATAGAAACATAGATAGATGGATATACTGAAGTATATATATATATATATATATATATATATATATATATATATATATATATATGAACAGTCTCATATAGTTAGATAGACTGAAATAGACTAAAATAGATGTTAATAAATATATATATATATATATATATATATATATATATATATATATATATATATATATATATGAACAAAGAATGACATGAAGAGACGGAGATAGATAGATAGATAGATAGATAGATAGACATTGATAGACTGAAATAGATATGAATATATATACATGTATGTATGAACAGACTTAAATATCTAGCGAGATAGGTAGACAAATTGATAGAAACATAGAGAGATGGATAGACTGAAGCATATATATATATATATATATATATATATATATATATATATATATATATATATATATATATTTATGAACAGTCTTAAATAGATAGAGAGAGAGAGAGAGAGAAAGAGAGAGTGATCGATTATTTTAGTAATGTTGATATCATTATAATTGCTGTTATTTATTGAATACTGTGTTTATAGGCCCCAATATTGTTATATCATTTGGTATTGTCGAAATTGCAGAAACTACTTTTAAATACACGGGCACAAGGTCTGTCTGTCTGCCTCTCTCTATCTCTCTCTATCTCTCTCTCTATTTCTCTCTCTTTCTCCCTATCTGCATCGCCCTCTCTCGATCTCTTGCTCTGTCGCTCATATGAGAAAAAATATATATCGGTGACCAAATATCAAAGATGACGTTATATATATCTCTCTGCTTTATTTTTGTTTGTTGTTGTTGCTGTTATTTTAGTAAAATATTATTACAGGATAAAAAAAGGAGGAAAACAGAAAAAAAAACCCTCGTATGAACAAGAATTTTATGTAAAATATTAACTATTTTTTTCTCCATCGAATCTCCGACCATTAAAAAAAAAAAATCCCTAGCCCGGAAGAAAGTAAAAAGAGAAAATAAAAATTAAAAAAAAAAAAACACAGAAAAAAAAAATGTAAAACTAAAAACTCTAAAATCTTTTTCCTTACATTATTTTTTAAAACCTCAATTTTTTTCTTTTTCTACCTGTATCATTTTTTTTTGTTTGTTTTGTTTTGTTTTCGTTTCTGTTTTTTTACTTATCTTCCTTGCACATTCATTCATAAAAACAAACCACAACATTATTACATAAATGCAAAATTCCTATTGATCTTTGATGTAACTATATATTTATGCCTGTGTTTCTTTGTATGCGTTTGTGCGTGTGTGTATGTGTATGTGCGCGACCTCGCGTGTGTGTAGGAGGTATGTAGGAATCCTACCAGTGATAGATGATGAATTTTTCTACACCCTCCACCCCTCTTTCTTTGTATATCGACTCGTATCATACATATATATATATATATATACACAAATATACAGCCCCATCTAACTCCTCACACACACACACACACACACACACATATATATATATATATATATATATATAAGATAAAGAAGAACGTTGAAGAAACAGAAAAAGATGTATTCAATCCACTGAACTCAAGAAAATAATCATCGTAATATGAGCAAGAAACTGGATAAAAGCATAAATAATATATATATATATATATATGTGTGTGTGTGTGTGTGTGTGTGTGTGTGAGCAAGAATTTGGTTTAAGCTCAACAACACTGGCAGAAAAGCCAGTTATATATTTTTTTTTACTTTTTTAAAAAATACCGTGTCCCTTCGGGACGTAGTTGAGTTGGATCTTCTTTTATTCCTCTTCTTTAATATCAGTGAATTAAGATGGCTTCTGTAATTGCCCAGTCTCTGTTGTTATTGAAGAAAAGAGATTGTCTCGTAACTTTTTACAAGCCCAAGTGAACGCCAAGAGACGAGACCAAGATTTGAACTTGGTTCGCTGGATTTCATTTCCGCATCGGTAAACCTTACGCCAAGTGCACATCATTAGTCATAAATATACATATTTTGCTATTCCAATTTTAACTTTGGTTTTTTTTTTTTTTTTTGAACTTTCAAAGATGGCATTTTTAGTTCATCCTTTACAATAACCCTCCACATAGACACCCAATGGGAATTTTTACTTTGTTAAAACTATTTTGGAATGTTTATCCCTCAACGATTTTAATAATAATAATAATAATAATAATAATAATAAGAAGAAGAAGAAGAAGAAGAAGAAGAAGAAGACAAGCTTTAGAAAATACACCGTACTCTGGATTGAAGTTGCCAGGATGTAGGACATTCAGGCCATTATTGTCCTTGGGGCGTAGGTGTCTATGCAACCAAACCTGAAGTCCTTCATTAAGAAAATCAGAATAAAACCTAATATCCTATCGCTTCAGAAGCCTGCGTTGCTTGCCATTGAAAATATTCCGCGAAAAGTGTTGTATTTTTCAGGTCGTACGACTTTTGATCTAAAATGCAAAATTTACGGTTGAAAAAAAAACGTGTAGAAAAAGAGTTAACAATAATAATAATAATAATAATAATAACAACAACGATGGTAAGACAAGTCACTTTATGATCAAATGCTCTGCCCTTACATAAACAAGCTGATATAGACAAACCACGCAACCATCAGTGGTTACGTAATGCAGTTTTAAAAGCTGAAACCGAACGTCTTATTCTTACTGCATAGGATCAATGCTTGCTAACTAGAAATTCCCAAGCACACATAGTGAAAAATAATGTTAAGCCGAAATTCAAATCCTGTGATAAACATCCAGAAATAATTGACCATCTTGTATCAGGTTGCAAAATGTTAGCACCCACTGAATATAAAACTCGGCATGATTGAGTGGGTCGATATCTACACTGGAAAAATATGCAATTTTTACGGGAAGGAAACTGAAAGAAACTCGTATGAATAAAACCCAGAAGAGATAATAATAATAATAATAATAATAATAATAATAATAATAATAATAATCTCTGACTACCTCAAAGAGTGGTTGGAAGAGGTTTGTCTGGGGTAGAAGAATGTGTAACGCCAGAATTTACGCTCTTGCATGAGTATTTACACAACATCCAGGAATTGATGATAAAAAGATGTGCTAAAGGAAAAGGTCATTGGAGAGACAGTGAAGTTAGCAGATTACGAGAAGAATATTTATGATAAGAAATTTGAGTCGTGGAAAGTAAAGATCCTTGCACGGAACATTTGCAAGAGAAACCCAAGAGGTATCAGATCCAAAATCATGGAGTTGGCTTAAAAATGGGTTCTTGTAGAGAAAACGGAAGGGATAATCTATGCGGATTTTTTAATCTTTTCTGAAAATTTTTAACAATAATAATAATGACAAGCGCTTGGAAAGCAATCGCCCTGACCTCAAACATACGCACAAGAGCAACCATAAACGGATCCTGATAGCTGTCACGGTACCTCGGGGATTATAACAACATAAAGGCAGAGCAGGTGGGAATACAGACGTCCCAAGACCAGAGAAATATACTAAACAACAGCTAAAGTGGACCCTGTTGTGTTTGGCGTCTTGTGGATAACTGACATCATTCAGGGTGCATTCTTGATCGTGCTACTTGCAAAGTTTTGTGTGTATAATATCTAATACCTGGGTTTTCTATCCGAACCTAAAATCAATTTAAATACAGACATTATAAAATAGGGAACTTTCTTTTATTTTTCCTATAATCTTTACAAGGCCTGGGAGCCGCTCGAGGTAGATGGTTACTGAATAAGAAGTGTAGTTTGTGCAGATATGTTGGGAGGGTAGCGGTTGAACCTAGACTTGAACAGGTTAACATTACACTTGTGCAGATTCTGTGATGAGCATCTAGAAACAATTGACCATTCTTGTATCAGGTTGCAATGTATTGGCACCCACTGAATATAAAACAAGACATGATAGAGTGGCCAATATCTGAAATGGAAAATGTGCAACGTTTACGGAAAATAAACTGCAGGAAATTGGTATGAACACCACCTGGTTCCGGTTACGGAGATAAGACCTGTAACAATTTTATGGGACTTTACAATACACACAGATAAAACAATCAAAGCTAATCGCCCAGACATCGTGATTAGAGACCGCAAAGTTAAAATGTGCCTTCTTATTGAAATGGCAGTTCCTGCAGACTGCAATGCTTCAAAAAATTACCAAAATCGAAATCTCAAAAATGTGGCACATAAGGACATCAACATTCTCAGTTGGATCCTTCGGATTGATTGGAAAAGATTCCGATAAACTCATTGAAGGGATTCTTGGTAAAAAAAA